TCAGGAATGTCCCCATTTCTTCTCTTGGGACATTGGCTTAAATTATCTTATGCATTAATTGTATGTCCCTGGTATAGCAAATTTGTGCCTAAAGAGATTGATGAATGAAACTTTACGCTGTAGCCATTATTTGTCTTGGTACAGGTCAATTTTGATACATGTATGTTTGGAATTCATTTTTATGTCAGTACTTAACTACTTGTTTACTGATTCGTTTCTTTCGTTTGTGTCTTTCTTTACACAGGGCTGGCCAATCTCTGTGTCTCAGGTTAGAGTTTCTTCTGATGGCTTTTCTCAAATGTATATTTTGATATAAGCTTCTTATTAGTATTCTTTATTTATTTCTTATATAATGTGAACTCTGCCCATCTTAGTTTTCATGATAATGATGGCAATTCTACCTGGCAATCTGCCACATCTAGTAGTTACTTATCATCTTATTGACATAAGCTTTTTTTCTTTAGACTCTCAAATCAGACACTGTTTTTTATATAAGCTAATTGTGTGCAATCTTTTCAGAGATACTATGGTTTGACCATATTGGATCAATCTAGAAGTGTTCTCTATTGTTTTAGGTTCACTTGTATTATAATTTGAAGTTATGAAAATTACTCTAGCAATTTTGCAATTCAACCTTTTGCTTTAATTTTTTTGTTTTGAGTAGCAGGAATTTAGAAGTCAGAAGTGCAATAAGCTCTCGTCAATAAACTTGCCACTACAGGTCTAGGAAGCATATATGATCCATAGAAGTTCTGAATATTGTAAAAGAAATGTTTCTCCAAGGAACTAGAATAAGCTGTGAATAGTAGTAGCTAGGGGAGTGATAGTCTTAGCAAAGGGAGAAAAAAAAGAAGAAAAAAAAGTATAGTAATACTCACCATGCTTGTTTGAGTCCTCTGCTCTTGATTTCTTTTCTGTTGTACCCAAAAAGAAAAAATTGTCCAGGAAATGTTGCCATGAGATGAAATAGAATAACCTAGCTAGGTAGAGTTGTGTGAATTATTAGTTTGGATCAATTAATACTGTGATGGTGCTTGAAATAAACTATCCCAATTTTAAAGTTCTTGATAACTATCTAACTAGATGTTATTATTAAGAGAAAATGTCCAAAATAATTAAATTCTTTCAGTTGAACACAGGGGCCAAGATTCTTTCACTTAGATTGGGTACTTGGCAGGCTGAACCTGGGATCGTAGCCAAAGCTCTCACCACTGCCATTCAGGTATAACTCACATTATTATTATTATTATTTGTTCAATGGAATAAAATCCACCAAAGAGAATTTCTCTAGTTGTTTTTGTTTTTGGTTATTAATATGTAAAGTTCAAAGGTTTGAATGTAGTTTTTTTTGTTTGGGTAAACAATTTATTAGTTTTGATTTTTCATAGGTAGAAGAGCTAAGTAACCTAATTACTGTTGTTCAGGTTGGCTACAGGCATATTGATTGTGCTGAAGCCTATAACAATCAAGCAGAGGTATTCATCATTCAATATAATTAGTATTTTTGTCTTATTTAAGATTTTTTTTCTCTCTTATTGATTTATTTATCTATTTGAGGGCTAGCGTTGAGTACTAATGAGGGTGTTCTACTAGTTTAGTAAACAGTTTCTTTGAAATAAATTAAATATATTTGAGTTTAGAAAATAGCTTCTTTTGAAAAAAGTTTAAAATATTGGAGTTTAGCAAATAGCTTCTTTTGAAAAAATTGCAAGGCTAAAATTGCATGTAATGAATTACCCTCGACAAAAGTTGAGGAGTTTAATTTTTTATATTTATCATACGTGTCTTTGCACTACTGTAATTATAAGATGAGTTGTGATAGATTAATTATGGGTTTGATGCTATTTTACATCTGGGAATTTGTTGGAGTTGCTTGTATGTTTATCTTGTTTTGGAAAAAAAGTGAAAAGCTCAAGCATTTTTGTAAGTCAATTGACAGTTTTTTGTTTTGATCTTGGCTTTTATAGATTGGTTCTGCTCTTAAATTAGTTTTACACAAAAAAATGTAGTGCTGAGTTTATCAAGCACAATTGATAAAAGTTCATTACTTATATATGTTATGGGCTTTATTGTCTTTGGCTTTTATTTTCTTTTCTTCATGGCAATTTGTTTCTTTTATCAATTAAATTTATTTTCTAACTCTAGGTTAAACAAAGAACCACCAAATCTGACTTTTAGGATAAAAGATAAGGGTGGAATCACAACGCAGATATTACTCTCAGGTATGATGCCACTGCGGATGACCTTATTGATGTCATTGAGGGAAGTAAAGTATATATTCCTTGCATCTATAAGATTTTTATTGCCTTTGCTTTGGTTTTATTGACTATAGTTGCTTGATATGCTCCAATTTCATGCATCTATCTTTATAACTATCTATTATTGTTGCGGGAATTATTTTTTTTAGTAAGGTATGAATTTGATCTTTTACTGCATTGAGTTCAAAATAAATGCCTATGTAAACGTAATCTATTATGATTTGTTGACTTTAGGTATTTTTCTTAATATTTAGCAGCAATATCAAAAAGTAAATTTTTTCCAACTTCTTAATATAAAATATTTGAGGCTTTGTTTTTGTCTTTTGACATGGGGTGGCAGAGAGGCTCACGTGGGTTTATCTGACACCAAGGCAAAAATGGACAAATCATGGATTGATATGCCACGAAATTCTGTTGAATATCTGCATGGGTTAAATGAGTTCTTAGATTTTGCATTTGAGAAGCGGTCTGTGAATGGTGCAATAAAGTGTCCATGTGCCAAATGTCGCTTCAATAAATGGGAAACTAGAGATATAGTGCTTGACCACTTGATTTGCAAGCCATTTCCAAAAAATTACAAAGTTTGGATTTGGCATGGTGAAACGTATGAAACAGTGACAGCAAGAGATTCTCAAGTAATGCAAGAGTCGTTGGCCACTGAAAACCCTATATTAGACATGATAAATGATGCATTTGGGGTCAACAAACAGCATGCATCAGAATCCACCACTTCATTTGAATCATTGGTGTCCGAACATCCTATGCCTCATGAAGAACAGAGAAATATTGATGATTTGATTAGAGATGGTAACCAAGAATTATATGAAGGGTGTCAAAAGTATTCAAAGTTGTCTTTTTTGTTAAGATTGTATCACATAAAGTGCTTGTGTGGTGTGACTGACAAGGCAATGACATTGATATTGGAATTGATAAAAGATGCATTCGAATATGCGAAAATTCCAGATTCATTCTATGAGGCAAAGAAGATCATCTATAAACTTGGTCTTAATTATACCAAGATAGATGCTTGTCCGAAAAATTGCATGTTGTATTGGAAAGAAGATGAAAGTTTGGAAATATGCGAACATTGTAAAACTTCCAGATGGAAGCCAATGGGTAAGGGAAAAGGAGATGGCCATATTGTTAGTAGAAAAAAGCTACCGGCAAAGGTTTTGCGTTACTTCCCGTTGAAACCAAGGTTGCAAAGATTATTTGTGTGTTCTAAAACAGCAAAATCAATGAGATGGCATGCTTTGGCAAACAATCCAGATGGATTATTGAGGCATCCAAGAGATGCTGAAGCATGGAAGAGTTTTGACCAATTTCACCCTCAATTTGCTTCAGAATCTCGAAATGTTCGCCTTGGCCTAGCTACTGATGGTTTCAATCCTTATGGAACCACGAGTAATAACTATAGCATATGGCCGGTCATTTTAATTCCATATAATCGTCCTCCTTGGGAGTGCATGAAACAAACTTCCATGATTCTTTCCATGATCATTCCTGGAAAACGAATGCCAGGGAATAATATAGATGTGTATCTACAACCTTTAATCCAGGAGTTGAATGAGCTATGGAGTGATGGTGTGGAAACTTATGATTCTTCAATGAATGAAGTATTTAGAATGAGAGCAGCTCTTATGTGGACAATTAGTGACTTCCCTGGGCTTGGTACCTTATCCGGGTGGAACACTTATACTGGCAATGCTTGCCCAACTTGTAATTTTGATACATGCTCTTGTCGATTAAAATACAGCAAAAAATGGTGTTTTATGGGTCATAGACGATTTTTGGAGAGGGGTCATAAATTTAGATTGATGAAGAAGCACTTCGATGGCACAGTTGAAGAAAGAGATCCACCTATGTTATTATCCGGGTTAGAAATTCTAAAGCAACTGGATGGTATCAATGTAACCTCTGGAAGCAATCTTCGATGGCAGATACCACACGTGATAGAGGAATCAGAAAAGATGCATGGCAATTTACTTCAGTGAACTTCTCTAAATGTATTCACACTGGTGAACGTGAAGAGCATGACCCATATATTGAAGCTTCACAAGCACAATTGGTGTATTATGTGGATGACGAGATAAATGAAGGTTGGAGTGTTGTTGTTCACATGATGCCAAGGGATTTGTATGATATGGGGGAAGATGTTATTTGTGAAACTGAGCCATACCAAGAGCAAGACCTGAGAAATTTATTCTCAAATGAAGCTGACACAATAACATTGGCTAGGGAGGACGTTGATAATGAATTCATAAATATAAGCCATGTTGAAAATCAACTTCCTGAAGATGAAAATATGTCCGAGTGAAATCAAGAAATGGTTAAGGAGGGTATCAATTACAAGGAGATTTAGTTTACAGTTTGGCAACTTTTTGTTGTATTTACAATTTGGCAACTTTGTTCTTTCTTTGTGGTTTAAGAAGGATTATCTGAAACCAAACTTTGTATGTGCAAAATGAGAAATTACACAATTGAGATTCAATACACTAAGAGAAATTTTTTTGCATCTAATATTATAGTTTGTATTTAAATTTCCTTCTACTGTTATACTAAGTTAGTAATTGGAGTGAGTAACCACTCAACTAACTTACAATTTGCTTCCTCTCTTTTTCCTTTTTGGTATTTGTTGGTCGTAACCTTATTTATTTACTATGTTGTTATTTTTGTACAATATTGGATTGATAATAGTTTTCTTGTGTATTGGTTGTCTTATATACATAAAGCAATTTAGACATGCCTCCAAAAGGAAAACGTTCAAGGAATGATGTTGCATCATCAAGTTCCAGCATGCCTATAGAGCCACCACAAACCATTGTTTCTTCATCAATTCCTACCGAACTACCACATCCCCCAGTTCGTCCATCTCATGTAGGACGTGAGTCTAAGAAGAAATGGACTTTACAAGCTATAGGTAATAATTTTTGGTTAGTTGTGATTATTATATTATCATTTAAGCTAACTTGGATATGTTTAAATAGATGAAGAAGGAAATGAAAAGAAAATTCAATTGACCACATCGGGTATGTTTGAGATGAATGGTCAACGCATAATAGTGCCATTTGATACGCAAATGCAACCATATGGGGAAGTTGCAACACTCTTGTCAAAAGTATGTGGACGTATTGCCACTGATTGCAACAATGTTCCCATTAACTATGAAGGATGGGATAAAGTACTTGATTCATACAAGACATAATGCTTTAAAAGTTTGAAGGTATATGCATACACCTTTTTCTGTATTGTACAAATTAATTAAAAGATTATGATCCTTCATTTATATTTCATAATATCCTTCATATATTGCAGTACCTGGTGAAGAACAATCCAATTTAAAGATTTACATGCAAAGAATATTCAATCATTTTCTTCCCTACTTTTGTTTGTTCAAGTTGTTGAAATTTTCATTTTTTTCTTCTCTTCTTTGACACTTGCTTGCTTTATTGACACTTTAAACCTCAAAACTAATATTTATGTTTCTCTTAGCAAAACGTAGGACACTAAGGGAATGTGCACTTTAAGAAGACAATAATTATTTACTTACAGTTTGTGCTAGCCAATTTAACAAGTATAAGTGTTTTTGTGCCTTCAAATCTATATTTTTTAAATAATATTTTTCTTCATTCTGTTTTCAATTTGATATAAAGTTTTCATAGTTTGGTTTCGATAATATTGATTGATACTTTACTTTAAAACAACACTCAAAGTTTGATAAAGCATTGACATTTTTTTCCTGCCTTGAACTTGAGCAGTGTTAATAAATCCTTGTACCAACTTTTCAGAAATAGCTATATTTATTTATTTATATTTTTGGTAAATAGCTCTATTTCATTTTATTTTTACTAATAGCTCTATTTATTTTAGTTATTCACTTCCATCATTATTGTACTAACATTAATACTTTTTGTAAAGAATTTATTTCATTTTCAGGCTCCAGAAACAATTGCTAAGCGTTATTGTCTACTTACCTTGGGAAGAAGGTTTAGGAACGGCAAGGCAAAATTATGGAAATCAGTTGAGAAATTAAACCTTCCTAGAGATCAACTAATTGCAAAAGTCCCTGCTGGTGTTCCTAAAGATCAATGGTCATCATTTGTAGACTATCATTTGAAACCAAGTTATAAGGTAATTCTATTAAATAGTGGTTGCTTGTTATTATTTTTTAAAGTTGCATTTTTTGTTAATAAATTGTTGATATCATAGGAATTATGTGAGAAGAATGCTGAGATTAGAAAAAAACAAACTATTCCACACACGGGGGGTTCCAAACTTTTGTCCCGAAGACGGCATGAGATGGTAAATTACTTGTGTTCTCTATATCTATATCTAATATATTTGACATTTGTGCTTATATGATTTCTATATGTTATAGGAGGAAGAGACCGGACACACTGTGAGTCGAGGCGAGCTATACATTGCAACTCATAAGAAAAAAGATGGGTCGTATGCGAATGATGAGGCAAAAACTTTAGTGGTAAGTTTAGAAATTTACTTGCAATATATACTCATTAGAAAAGATGTTTAACAAAAACAAACAAAGTTGGCGAATGTTTATTTTCTTGGGAAATCTCAACGAGTTACCAACGGTGCTTATGTAGGGATTTTTTCTTGTGTGTCTATTATGCTTGTTATTTATGGATGCTAAAGTAATTATACTCCGTTAATCAAATGTGAGAAGTACAAAGCATTATGCTTGTTAAAAAAATAAGCATTTTAGGGTGTGACTGAAGCAAAAAAAAAAACAAGACATTTAGAGAGAGAATCATTCTAATAGTATTCTGAATTAATTTTATTATATATGGCTTCATTCTAATATATAGACCTATCTAAAATAACTAATTGCCTAAAATAATAACTAATCTATGGTAATAAAATATTTTACAATAATTACAATAAATTACAGAGAATATTATAGGGTAGAGAATGCATGACTGTCGTGGGACTATATATTAGTGTATCTATTGCAACACTTGCTTTATGGTAAAGAAGTTTCCTTGTTACTATATTGTAATGTTGGTTTAACTATATTGGCCTTCAATGCATATTATATTTCTCAGTATTATATCGTATGTGATAATTGCTCAAAAGTTAGTTTTTTTTTTTTTGTTCTTTAGAATTTTTTTCCAGTACTTTGTTGAAGTGTTTTTCACAGTTTCAGAGACTATTTTTTCCTACAGATTAAGCTTTTATTGTAGTATATCTCCTTAGAAATTAGAATAAAGACTGACACATGCATGAACTTATGGAAAATGATAATACTGTTTATGTACAGGATCAGATATATGAAGAATTAAACCAAAGCACTAATTCTACTGAAATTTCAACAAATGATGCCGTTGCAAAAGTTTTTGGCCCAGAGCACTCTGGTCGTGTACGTGGTTTAGGCCTAGGTGGTCTTCCTAGCATTGCATTTGGACCCACAAGTGGACGATTCAATCCTATAGGCTCTACTTTCTCAAGTGCGAATTCAGCTGAAAGTTCTCAATTAAAAGAAGAGGTTATTTCATTGAAAACTAAGTTAGCAGCATCTGAGGAGAGCCTTAAGACATTACAGACTGTAATGCTTGCATATATACGAATGAAGGAAGGACAGATTCCTCCAGAATTGGATGCTTTGTTTGGTACCACTTCTACTCCAATGGTAATGATTTCATAATTTTTATTATTAATGTTAAACTTTATATTATTAGTTTAAGTGCCTCATTCTTTTAAGCATGCTAAAAAGGTACAATAAATTGGTTTTTTACAGGATGAAGGGAGTGAAGAAGCTATCCCAACACGCGGAAGGTCTTCATTAGATAGTAATCACCCTTGAATTGGGTTATATGAATTCAATATTTTTGCTATGTTTTGGGTCCTGTAAAGTGATAAGTGCATCATTAGAGATTCATATGAATTTTAGAGTTTTAAAATGGATTTATTTTATGTGTTTTTTGTTGTGGATAATTGTAAATTTGCTACTCTTTCTCATTGACACAACATTGAATCAACTTTACATCTTTTATGAATGTGTACAAGTATAGTGAGACATATTCTACTATGATTGTTGTTATGCCCTTCATTAGATAAGAGAACATTATGTAAGTTTTTGTTTTGCTAGACATTAATTCAACTTCATATTATAGTATATGGGTGTTAGAGTATATTTATGCTTTTATTTATTTAAAAAAGTATTAACCAAGTGCAAGCATAAATAATGAATTGGCTAACAAGTCAAGTGATGAGGACCAATTACAAAATTATGATATACACACTTTTCAAATTTGGATAATTAGTATTTAGTGGAGGTTTAAATATGCCAAAATAATAAATAAATTGTAGCAGTTTATGCCCTCTAGAAAATGATGAATTTTGTGGGGATATTGTGGAGGTTACTAAATCCCAATAAATAATACAACATTTGTGGGGGTCTTAAACTTCCAGAAAGTGCAATATTTGTGGGGGTCTTGAACCTCAGAAAATACTTCAACAAATTGTGGCACTGCACAAAAAACCCCCACAAACTATATTGTGGCGAAGGCAGAACTGGGGGTCTGAGTGAATGCCACAAATGTCTTTTGTGGGGGTCAAAGACCTCCACAATATGAAAATATGACCTCCACAAATCACCTCATTTTTTGTAGTGTTACCTCTTGCGCCCGCATCACAAAACTTGTTGTCTTCAAGCTTGACTGATGGTAACCCTTTAACCAGCCCTTGCAATCTTAGTTTTTTTAACAAAGAAAAACTTGCATGCCCTAATCTCTTATGCCATAAGAGTGGGTCATTCTCAAGAACGCTTAGACAAGTTAGAGAAGTATTACCAATAGAGTTAAGATTCACTTGGTAAGTATTCTTGTTTCTTCTACCTTCTAAGATTATTTCATTGGTGTCTAACTTTCTTATTAAGCAATTATCAGAAGTGAATTCTACCTTGTTTCCTTTGTCACAGATTTGGGAAATGCTAAGGAGATTGTGTTTTAGTCCTTTTACTAAGAACACATTTTCTATAGAATGAGAGAGATACTGACCAATTTTTCCAACACCAATGATCTCACCTTTGTTGTTATCTCCAAATGTCACATTTCCCCCTTGGAAGGCCTTGAGTGAGAGAAATTTTGACTTATCGCCAGTCATATGCTTGGAGCACCCACTGTCTAGGAACCACCAGTTATTCCCCCTCACTCTAGCCTGCAAAAGAAAATTAATGGTTAATTTTAGGAATCCAAACTTGTTTGGATCCCTTTTTCTCAATGATGGATTTAGTATCATGCACTTTCTTTACCCATATCTGTTTGCATCTATTGCTGCCCTTCTCACCTTTTCTAAGAATATGCATGCAATTTTTCTTGTAGGCTTTTGATCTCAATATACATTCAGTTATAACATGTCCAGTTCTTCCACAATGCATGCATAACTTGTTTTCTAGCAGGTTGACATGTTTGGTTTTGTTATTGCTTGATTTATCATAACCCAAACCATGTCTTGCTCTATTTTTGTTCTTAGTTAGCCAACTTACTGCACTTTCCTTATTCCTACTGTTCTCATCACGGTTCAAAGAAGCATTTAAGGCAATTTCCAATTTTTCCAATAGCTCCAATTTTTCTTTATTTAATACTTCTACAGCACATTTCGATTTTACTATTTCATCATTTATGGACTTGTCAGCATAATTTTTTTTTTGTATTTCAACTTCTTTTAATTTCAATATTAATGAGGCATTACTGTTTTCAAGCTCTTGAACTAAAACCTTGAACATGTGGGTTTTCTCTTTGAGGTTACTATTTTCTAGAACTAGTTCTTTATTAATCTTTGTGACAGACTTGAGTTCTTTTGTTAAAACCCCAAATTCATCCAAGAGACCAACTTTTTCAGAGTACTCAGCCAAACACTTATCAATTAACATTTCAGTTTGCTTAATCAATTGCTTTTTATTTAGATTAAGCAAGGAAGACTTTAGGTCTAGAAAATTTACCTCTTCTGAATCTTCATCCAAATCTGAGTCGCTCCTTCCCATTAGGCATGGATTCAATTTAAATTTTTTTTGTTCGATTTCTTCTTCATCAGAGTAGCTATTTCCCTTAAAACAAAACTTCGCCTTGTCTTTACCATGGTTTGGTCTTCCTTCATTTGAATCACTATGAGCCATTAGACATAGATTTGCCTGAGTTTCTTCTTGATCAGACCCTTCTTCGTTAGTGTCAGATTCGCTCCAAGCAGCGACCATGGCTTTCTTGAAATCCCTTTTAAAGGATCTTTGATGATCTTTAGTGCGCTCTGATTTTTGTTCTTTTTTCTGCTCTATTTCCCAATTAGGGCACTCCTTGATTCTATGGTCTGGTTTACCACACTTGAAACACTTGTCTTCAGATTTGAGAGGATTGGGTTTGTTTTTCACAAATTTCCCTTTCTTTTCTGCATTTTTTGAGAGCTTGTAAAATCTCTTGAACTTACGAGCAAACATTGCCAAGTCATCTTCGTCTCCAGTGTCGCTGTCATCTTCTTTATTTTGGGCCTTTAGAGCAATGCCTTTTTCTTTGTTGGAGGCTTCATGTTTGTGGGAGAGAAGTTGCATTTCATATGTCATAAGTGAACCAGTCAACTCTTCTAAATTAAATATTTTAAAATTTTTTGTTTCTTGTAAAGCGGTAACTTTCGGCATCCAGTCCTCTTGAGGTAGACTTCTCAAAATTTTTCTCACTTGTTCTTCAACCTGAATTTCTCTGCCAAGGGCTGCAAGCTCATTAACAATGTTAGTAAACCGTGTAATCATATCACGGATATTTTCTTTGGGCTTCATTGTAAACAATTCATACTGATGCATCAATAGATCAATTTTTGATTGTTTTACCTCGTTAGTTCCTTCGTGAGTTACCTCAAGAAGATCCCACATTTGTTTAGCAGTCTTGCAACCCATGATTCGATTGTGTTCGTGTGGTCCAAGTCCGCAATGGAGCAATCTGATAGCCTGAGCATTAAATTCTAACTTTTTCCAATCACCATCAGTGTAGTATTCCTCAGATTTTGCAATGACTTCACCTTTCTCATTACGAGTGGTAATTGAATAATCTCCTTTACTCACTACATTCCAAATCTGATAATTTTCTGCTTTGATAAATATCTCCATTCGGTTTTTCCAATAACTGTAGAATTTACCATTGAAGAGCGGAGGCCTTTGCGTAGAATATCCTTCTTGAATTCTTTCTACTTCATTCATCTTGTGGATCAACTCTTCAGGAATTACCTGTTAAAAAAGAGAACCACGCTCTAGATACCAATTGTTAGTCCCTGTGACACTCAAGAAGGGGGGTTGAATTGAGTGATAGAAGATTTTAACAATTACGTGAAAATATATTTTTAATTTTCTTTACCAAAATTAAATTTAAAAATAAAAGGCACAGAAAATTAACGTGAAAAACCTCCTGAACTCACAGGAGTAAAACAACCACGATCTCAATAATTTCAAGTACAAATTAACCCCAATTTACTCTTGATATCTAAACCCCAATATCACAATAGAGATTGCTATTTCAACCTAACCCCTTAGGTCTAAGTTCCCCAATTGTGCCAAGACAATTGCTCCCCTATTGTTAACTCTAACAATAGCTAGAATAACACACACAAAAAAACTTTACTAATACTTCTCAAAAGAATAAAAGATGACACTTTAAAAAATTTTTTAAACTAAGTGCAATCCTCTATAAAAGCCCCCGAGAGAAGTGTCTCTTTTGATCAGCAGAGGTCTTGTATATATAGATAACTTTTGTTTGACCCATTCTTATCTTCTTCCATCAATTTGAAATATCCCACTTTTAGTTGCCTATTTTTTTCTCTCTCTTCATATCATCAGCCATAAAATCTGGGAGCATATCTTGATATTTAAAATCTTGTTGTCAAAGCTGCAACCTTATCTTAATATTCCCTTTCTTCAAATATTATCTTTTAGAATTCAAAATCCAATCCTTTCATCTCAACAATAGATTGTTATCTTTCAACTGTCTTGATTCTTTATCCTCATTCTTTCAACCTTCAAGTGTTTGACTTGGTCCTTCCCAATCGTTGCTGCTGCACACGTAAAAATAGCAAACATTAATCATTATGGTTTCAATTGTTTGTTAGCATCAGAACAACCCAATGCAATAGCCAACAGTTTCAAAGCTACCAGGAGAATAAAACTTTTTGGTTTTGACAGTTATCACATACAAGACCCCATAGGCTTTTCTGGAAGGTTTTGGGTTCTTTGGAATAGAGCAGAAGTTGATGTGGAGGTTCTAGAAACGAAGCACCTTTTGACACATGCTGCACCTAGGTGGAAAGCATATGGAAAGGAAGAGATCGTTACCTTTGTCTACGCCAGCCCGAGAAGAGTAGAACGAAGGACTCTCTGGAATGATATCCAGCGATTAAGTCAAGGAGGTATTAAACCTTGGCTTCTATTAGGAGACTTCAATGCTGTGTTTCTTAACGAGGAAAAAAAAGGTGGGCCTCCTACTTGCCAAGGAAGCATTCGTGAATTTAAGGATTGCATGAGTTTATGCAACTTGGAAGACCTGGGCCATCTGGGGCCTCCTTTTACGTGGAAGAGAGGGAGTCTCATGGAAAGATTGGATAGGGCTGTCACTAATACTGAGGGTCTTCTACTGTTTCTTGAACGAAATGTGTTCCACCTCCCTTTCTTCAACTCTGATCATAGGCCCATTTTGGTTAGAGAGGGAACGTTGGATAAGGAGAGCGAGGGAAGGAAACCCTTCCGTTTTCTTGCATCCTGGTTAACTAGGGAGGATTTTGGAGGGATTGTACAGGAGAGCTGGAACAATAACAGAGAATGGAATCGTG